CGATATATCAGGGTTCAAAACAGGGATTTCTATGAAAATAAGCGATATTTCAGGGGAAAAACAGGGATTTCTGGGAAAATAAGCGATATTTCAGGGGAGAAACAGGGATTTCGATGAAAATAAGGGACATTCCATGGGAAAAACAGGGATCTCTATGAAAATAAGCGATATTTTACGGGAAAAACAGGGATTTCTAGGAAAATATGCGATATTTCAGGGTAAAACCAGGGATTTCTGTGAAAATAAGCGATATTTCAGGGGAAAAACAGGGATTTCAAGGAAAATATGCAATATTTTAGGGGAAAAACAGGGATTTCTATGAAAATAAGCGATATTTCAGGGGAAAAAAGAGGGATTTCTATGAAAATAAGCGATATTTAAGGTTAAAAACAGGGATTACTATGAAAATCAGAGATATTTCAGGGGAAAAACAGGGATTTCGATGAAATTAATCAATATTTAAGGGAAAAACAGGGATTTCTATGAAAATAAGCGATATTTAAGGGAAAAAAAAGGGAATTCGGTGAAAATAAGTGAAATTTCAAGGGAAAAACAGGGATTTCTATGATAATAAGCAATATTTGAGGGTTAAATACAGGGATTTCTATGAAAATAAGGGATAATTTCGGGTTCAAAACTGGGATTTCCATGAAAATAAGCGATATTTCAGGTAAAAAACAGGGATTTCGATGAAAATAAGCAATATATCAGGGTTCAGAACAGGGATTTCTATGTAAATAAGCGATACTTCAGGGGGAAAAAAAGGAATGTCGATGAAAATAAGCGATATTTTAGGGGAAAAAGAGGGATTTCTATGAAAATAAGCGATATTTCAGACGAAAAACAGGAATTTCTATGAAAATAAGCGATATTTCAGGGTTCAAAATAGGGATTTCTATGAAAATAAGCGATATATCTGGGTTCAAAACAGGGATTTCTATGAAAATAAGCGATATTTCAAGGGAAAAAAGAGGGATTTCGATGAAAATAAGCGATATTTCAGAGGAAAAACAGGGATTTCGATGAAAATAAGCGATATTTCAGGGGAAAAACAGGGATTTCGATGAAAATAAGCGATATATCTGGGTTCAAAACAGGGATTTCTATGAAAATAAGCGATATGTCAGGGGAAAAACAGGGATTTCGATGAAAATAAGCGATATGTCAGGGGTCAAAACAGGGATTTCTATGAAAATAAGCGATATTTTCGGGGAAAAATCAGGATTTCTGGGAAAATAACCGATATTTCAGGGAAGAAAGAGGGATTTCTATGAAAATAAGCGATATTTTAGAAGAAAACAGGGATTTGTATGAAAATAAGCGATATTTCAGGGGAAAAACAGGGATTTCTATGAAAATAAGCAATATTTTATGGGAAAAACGGATTTCTATGAAAATAAGCGATATTTCAGGGGAAAAACAGGGATTTCTATGAAAATCAGAGATATTTCAGGGGAAAAACAGGGATTTCTAAAAAAATAAGCGATATTTAAGGGAAAAACAGGGAATTCGGTGAAAATAAGCGATATTTATGGTTAAAAACTGGGATTTCGGTGAAAATAAGCGATATTTCAGGGGAAAAACAGGGATTTCTATGAAAATATGCAATATTTTAGGAGAAAAACAGGGATTTCTATGAAAATAAGCGATATTTTAGTGTTAAATAAAGGGATTTCTATGAAAATAAGCGATATTTAAGAGGAAAAACAGGGATTTCTATGAAAATAAGCTATATTTTAGGGTAAACAACAGGGATTTCGATGAAAATAAGCGATATGTCAGGGGAAAAAGAGGGATTTCTATGAAAATAAGCGACATTTAAGGGGAAAAACAGGGATTTCTAGGAAAGAAGCGATATTTCAGGGGGAAAACAGGGATTTCGATGAAAATAAGCGATATTTTCGGGTTCAAAAAAGGCATTTCTATGAAAATAAGCGATATTTCAGACAAATAACAGGGATTTCGATGAAAATAAGCGATATAAAAGGGTTCAAAACTGGGATTTCTATGAAAATAAGCGATATTTCAGGGGAAAAACAGGGATTTCGATGAAAATAAGCGATATTTGAGGGTTAAATACAGGAATTTCTATGAAAATAAGCGATATTTCAGGGGAAAAACAGGGATTTCAAGGAAAATATGCAATATTTTAGGGGAAAAACAGGGATTTCTATGAAAATAAGCGATATTTTAGGGGAAAAAAGAGGGATTTCTATGAAAATAAGCGATATTTAAGGTTAAAAACAGGGATTACTATGAAAATAAGTGATTTATCAGGGGAAAAACAGAGATTTCGATGAAATTAATCAATATTTAAGGGAAAAAAAGGGATTTCTATGAAAATAAGCAATATTTAAGGGAAAAAAAAGGGAATTCGGTGAAAATAAGTGAAATTTCAAGGGAAAAACAGGGATTTCTATGATAATAAGCAATATTTGAGGGTTAAATACTGGGATTTCTATGAAAATAAGCGATATTTGAGGGTTCAATACTGGGATTTCCATGAAAATAAGCAATATTTAATGGGAAAAACAGGGATTTCGATGAAAATAAGCGATATATCAGGGTTCAAAACAGGGATTTCTATGTAAATAAGCGATATTTCAGGGGAAAAAAAGGAATGTCGATGAAAATAAGCAATATTTTAGGGGAAAAAGAGGGATTTCTATGAAAATAAGCGATATTTCAGACGAAAAACAGGAATTTCTATGAAAATAAGCGATATTTCAGGGTTCAAAATAGGGATTTCTATGAAAATAAGCGATATATCAGGGTTCAAAACAGGGATTTCTATGAAAATAAGCGATATTTCAAGGGAAAAAAGAGGGATTTCAATGAAAATAAGCGATATTTCAGGGGAAAAACAGGGATTTCGATGAAAATAAGCGATATATCTGGGTTCAAAACAGGGATTTCTATGAAAATAAGCGATATTTCAGACGAAAAACAGGGATTTCGATGAAAATAAGCGATATGTCAGGAATCAAAACAGGGATTTCTATGAAAATAAGCGATATTTTCGGGGAAAAATCAGGATTTCTGGGAAAATAAGCGATATTTCAGGGGAGAAAGAGGGATTTCTATGAAAATAAGCGATATTTTAGGGGATAAACAGGGATTTCTATGAAAGTAAGTGATATTTCAGTGGAAAAACAGGGATTTCTATGAAAATAAGCGATATTTTAGGGGAAAACAGGGATTTGTATGAAAATAAGCGATATTTCAGGGGAAAAACAGGGATTTCGATGAAAATAAGCAATATTTTATGGGAAAAACGGATTTCTATGAAAATAAGCGATATTTTCGGGGAAAAACAGGGATTTCTATGAAAATCAGAGATATTTCAGGGGAAAAACAGGGATTTCTAGGAAAAATATGCGATATATCAGGGGTCAAAACAGGGATTTCTATGAAAATAAGCGATATTTCAGGGGGAAATATCAGGATTTCTAGGAAAAATAAGCGATATGTCAGGGGTCAAAACAGGGATTTCTATGAAAATAAGCGATATTTTAGGGGAAAGAAGAGGGATTTCGATGAAAATAGGCGATATTTCAGACGAAAAAGAGAGATTACTATGAAAATAAGCGACATTTAAGGGTTCAAAACAGGGATTTCTAGGAAAGAAGCGATATTTCAGGGGAAAAACAGGGATTTCGATGAAAATAAGCGATATTTTCGGGTTAAAAACAGGGATATCTATGAAAATAAGCGATATTTCAGACGAAAAACAGGGATTTCGATGAAAATAAGTGATATATCAGGGAAAAACTGGGATTTCAATGAAAATAAGCGATATTTTCGGGGAAAAACAGGGATTTCTATGAAAATAAGCGATATTTCAGTGGAAAAACAGGGATTTCTATGAAAATAAGCGATATTTTCAGGGGAAAAACAGGGATTTCTATGAAAATAAGCGTTATTTCAGAGGAAAAACAGGGATTTCTATGAAAATAAGCGATATTTTAGGGGAAAAAAGAGGGATTTCGATGAAAATAAGCGATATGTCAGGGGAAAAAGAGGGATTTCTATGAAAATAAGCGACATTTAAGGGGAAAAACAGGGATTTCGATGAAAATAAGCGATATTTTAGGGTTCAAAGCAGGGATTTCTATGAAAATAAGCGATATTTCAGACAAATAACAGGGACTTTGATGAAAATAAGCGATATATAAGGGTTCAAAACAGGGATTTCTATGAAAATAAGCGATATTTCAGGGGAAAAGCAGGGATTTCTAGGAAAAATAAGCGACATATCAGGGTTCAAAACAGGGATTTCTATGAAAATAAGCGATATTTCAGGGGAAAAACAGGGATTTCTGGGAAAATAAGCGATATTTCAGGGGAGAAACAGGGATTTCGATGAAAATAAGGGACATTTCTGGGTTCAAAACAGGGATTTCGATGAAAATAAGCGATATGTCAGGGGAAAAACAGGGATTTCGATGAAAATAAGCGATATGTCAGGGGTCAAAACAGGGATTTCTATGAAAATAAGCGATATTTTCGGGGAAAAATCAGGATTTCTGGGAAAATAAGCGATATTTCAGGGGGAAAGAGGGATTTCTATGAAAATAAGCGATATTTTAGGGGATAAACAGGGATTTCTATGAAAATAAGTGATATTTCAGTGGAAAAACAGGGATTTCTATGAAAATAAGCGATATTTTTGGGGAAAACAGGGATTTCTATGAAAATAAGCGATATTTCAGGGGAAAAACAGGGATTTCGATGAAAATAAGCAATATTTTATGGGAAAAACGGATTTCTATGAAAATAAGCGATATTTCAGACAAATAACTGGGATTTCGATGAAAATAAGCAATATATAAGGGTTCAAAACAGGGATTTCTATGAAAATAAGCGATATTTCAGGGGAGAAACAGGAATTTCTATGAAAATAAGCGATATTTTCGGGTTCAAAAATGGGATTTCCATGAAAATAAGCGATATTGTAGGGATCAAAACAGGGATTTCTATGAAAATAAGCGATATTTCAGGGGAAAAACAGGGATTTCTATGAAAATAAGCGATATTTAAGGTTAAAAACAGGGATTTCTATGAAAATAAGCGATATTTATGGTTAAAAACAGGGATTTCTATGAAAATAAGCGATATTTCAGGGGAAAAACAGGGATTTCTAGGAAAATATGCGATATTTCAGGGGAAAAACAGGGATTTCGGTGAAAATAAGCGATATTTGAGGTTAAAAACAGGGATTTCTATGAAAATAAGCGATATTTCAGGAGAAAAAAGAGGGATTTCTATGAAAATAAGTAATATTCCAAGGGAAAAAGAGGTATTTCTATGAAAATAAGCGACATTTAAGGGGAAAAGCAGGGATTTCTAGGAAAGAAGCGATATTTCAGGGGGAAAAACAGGGATTTCGATGAAAATAAGTGATATTTTAGGGTAAAAAACAGGGATTTCTAGGAAAATAAGCGATATTTCAGGGGAAAAACAGAGATCTCGATGAAAATAAGCGATATTTCAGGGGAAAAACAGGGATTTCTATGAAAATAAGCGATATATCTGGGTTCAAAACAGGGATTTCTATGAAAATAAGCGATATTTCAAGGGAAAAAAGAGGGATTTCGATGAAAATAAGCGATATTTCAGGGGAAAAACAGGGATTTCGATGAAAATAAGCGATATTTCAGGGGAAAAACAGGGATTTCGATGAAAATAAGCGATATTTCAGAGGAAAAACAGGGATTTCTATGAAAATAAGCGATATGTCAGGGCAAAAACAGGGATTTCGATGAAAATAAGCGATATGTCAGGGGTCAAAACAGGGATTTCTATGAAAATAAGCGATATGTCAGGGGAAAAAGAGGGATTTCTATGAAAATAAGCGACATTTAACGGGAAAAACAGGGATTTCTAGGAAAGAAGCGATATTTCAGGGGAAAAACAGGGATTTCGATGAAAATAAGCGATATTTTAGGGTTCAAAATAGGGATTTCTATGAAAATAAGCGATATTTCAGACAAATAACAGGGATTTCGATGAAAATAAGCGATATATAAGGGTTCAAAACAGGGATTTCTATGAAAATAAGCGATATGTCAGGGGAAAAACAGGGATTTCGATGAAAATAAGTGATATATCAGGGGAAAAACACGGATTTCTAGGAAAATAAGCGATATTTTCGGGGAAAAACAGGGATTTCTATGAAAATAAGCGATATTTCAGTGGAAAAACAGGGATTTCTATGAAAATAAGCGATATGTCAGGGGTCAAAACAGGGATTTCGATGAAAATAAGCGATATTTCAGTGGAAAAACAGGGATTTCTATGAAAATAAGCGATATTTTCGGGGAAAAAAGAGGGATTTCGATGAAAATAAGCGATATGTCAGGGGAAAAAGAGGGATTTCTATGAAAATAAGCGACATTTAAGGGGAAAAACAGGGATTTCGATGAAAATAAGCAATATATCAGGGTTCAGAACAGGGATTTCTATGTAAATAAGCGATATTTCAGGGGAAAAAAGAGGGATTTCGATGAAAATAAGCGATATTTCAGGGGAAAAACAGGGATTTCGATGAAAATAAGCGATATTTCAGGGGAAAAACAGGGATTTCGATGAAAATAAGCGATATATCTGGGTTCAAAACAGGGATTTCTATGAAAATAAGCGATATGTCAGGGGAAAAACAGGGATTTCGATGAAAATAAGCGATATGTCAGGGGTCAAAACAGGGATTTCTATGAAAATAAGCGATATTTTCGGGGAAAAATCAGGATTTCTGGGAAAATAACCGATATTTCAGGGAAGAAAGAGGGATTTCTATGAAAATAAGCGATATTTTAGGGGAAAAAAGAGGGATTTCGATGAAAATAAGCGATATGTCAGGGGAAAAAGAGGGATTTCTATGAAAATAAGCGACATTTAAGGGGAAAAACAGGGATTTCGATGAAAATAAGCGATATTTTAGGGTTCAAAACAGGGATTTCTATGAAAATAAGCGATATTTCAGACAAATAACAGGGACTTTGATGAAAATAAGCGATATATAAGGGTTCAAAACAGGGATTTCTATGAAAATAAGCGATATTTCAGGGGAAAAGCAGGGATTTCTAGGAAAAATAAGCGATATATCAGGGTTCAAAACAGGGATTTCTATGAAAATAAGCGATATTTCAGGGGAAAAACAGGGATTTCTGGGAAAATAAGCGATATTTCAGGGGAGAAACAGGGATTTCGATGAAAATAAGGGACATTTCTGGGGAAAAACAGGGATCTCTATGAAAATAAGCGATATTTTAGGGGAAAAACAGGGATTTCTATGAAAATATGCGATATTTCAGGGGAAAAACAGGGATTTCGGTGAAAATAAGCGATATTTCAGGGGAAAAACAGGGATTTCAAGGAAAATATGCAATATTTTAGGGGAAAAACAGGGATTTCTATGAAAATAAGCGATATTTCAGGGGAAAAACAGGGATTTCTATGAAAATCAGAGATATTTCAGGGGAAAAACAGGGATTTCTATGAAAATATGCAATATTTTATGGGAAAAACAGGGATTTCTATGAAAATAAGCGATATTTTAGTGTTAAATAAAGGGATTTCTATGAAAATAAGCGATATTTAAGAGGAAAAACAGGGATTTCTATGAAAATAAGCTATATTTTAGGGTAAACAACAGGGATTTCGATGAAAATAAGCGATATGTCAGGGGAAAAAGAGGGATTTCTATGAAAATAAGCGACATTTAAGGGGAAAAACAGGGATTTCTAGGAAAGAAGCGATATTTCAGGGGAAAAACAGGGATTTCTATGAAAATAAGCGATATTTTAGGGTTCAAAATAGGCATTTCTATGAAAATAAGCGATATTTCAGACAAATAACAGGGATTTCGATGAAAATAAGCGATATAAAAGGGTTCAAAACAGGGATTTCTATGAAAATAAGAGATATTTCAGGGGAAAAACAGGGATTTCGATGAAAATAAGCGATATTTGAGGGTTAAATACAGGAATTTCTATGAAAATAAGCGATATTTCAGGGGAAAAACAGGGATTTCAAGGAAAATATGCAATATTTTAGGGGAAAAACAGGGATTTCTATGAAAATAAGCGATATTTTAGGGGAAAAAAGAGGGATTTCTATGAAAATAAGCGATATTTAAGGTTAAAAACAGGGATTACTATGAAAATAAGTGATATATCAGGGGAAAAACAGGGATTTCGATGAAATTAATCAATATTTAAGGGAAAAAAAGGGATTTCTATGAAAATAAGCAATATTTAAGGGAAAAAAAAGGGAATTCGGTGAAAATAAGTGAAATTTCAAGGGAAAAACAGGGATTTCTATGATAATAAGCAATATTTGAGGGTTAAATACTGGGATTTCTATGAAAATAAGCGATATTTGAGGGTTCAATACTGGGATTTCCATGAAAATAAGCAATATTTAATGGGAAAAACAGGGATTTCGATGAAAATAAGAGATATATCAGGGTTCAAAACAGGGATTTCTATGTAAATAAGCGATATTTCAGGGGAAAAAAAGGAATGTCGATGAAAATAAGCAATATTTTAGGGGAAAAAGAGGGATTTCTATGAAAATAAGCGATATTTCAGACGAAAAACAGGAATTTCTATGAAAATAAGCGATATTTCAGGGTTCAAAATAGGGATTTCTATGAAAATAAGCGATATATCTGGGTTCAAAACAGGGATTTCTATGAAAATAAGCGATATTTCAAGGGAAAAAAGAGGGATTTCGATGAAAATAAGCGATATTTCAAGGGAAAAAAGAGGGATTTCGATGAAAATAAGCGATATTTCAGGGGAAAAACAGGGATTTCGATGAAAATAAGCGATATATCTGGGTTCAAAACAGGGATTTCTATGAAAATAAGCGATATGTCAGGGGAAAAACAGGGATTTCGATGAAAATAAGCGATATGTCAGGGGTCAAAACAGGGATTTCTATGAAAATAAGCGATATTTTCGGGGAAAAATCAGGATTTCTGGGAAAATAACCGATATTTCAGGGAAGAAAGAGGGATTTCTATGAAAATAAGCGATATTTTAGGGGAAAAAAGAGGGATTTCGATGAAAATAAGCGATATGTCAGGGGAAAAAGAGGGATTTCTATGAAAATAAGCGACATTTAAGGGGAAAAACAGGGATTTCGATGAAAATAAGCGATATTTTAGGGTTCAAAACAGGGATTTCTATGAAAATAAGCGATATTTCAGACAAATAACAGGGACTTTGATGAAAATAAGCGATATATAAGGGTTCAAAACAGGGATTTCTATGAAAATAAGCGATATTTCAGGGGAAAAGCAGGGATTTCTAGGAAAAATAAGCGACATATCAGGGTTCAAAACAGGGATTTCTATGAAAATAAGCGATATTTCAGGGGAAAAACAGGGATTTCTGGGAAAATAAGCGATATTTCAGGGGAGAAACAGGGATTTCGATGAAAATAAGGGACATTTCTGGGGAAAAACAGGGTTCTCTATGAAAATAAGCGATATTTTAGGGGAAAAACAGGGATTTCTATGAAAATATGCGATATTTCAGGGGAAAAACAGGGATTTCGGTGAAAATAAGCGATATTTCAGGGGAAAAACAGGGATTTCAAGGAAAATATGCAATATTTTAGGGGAAAAACAGGGATTTCTATGAAAATAAGCGATATTTCAGGGGAAAAACAGGGATTTCTATGAAAATCAGAGATATTTCTGGGGAAAAACAGGGATTTCTAAAAAAATATGCGATATTTAAGGGAAAAACAGGGAATTCGGTGAAAATAAGCG